TGTTTGTGTGATTGTTTTGGTGTTGTTTTAACGTTGCTTGTTTTTTAACAGGTACGAAATGTTTGTGTGATTGTTTAAGCAACGTTAAAACAACACCATTTTTTAACAGATACGAAATGTTTGTGTTAAAACAACACCGTTTTTTAACAGATACGAAATGTTTGTGTTAAAACAACACCATTTTTTAACAGATACATGTGCTAGGGCCATCACAGTTAGTTCTCCATATTACTTCGAGCTCACTTCCAAGAGAATTAGGAGGCAGTCTTTTTATTAACCACAAGACATGGCTTCTTCACTGTCTGAAATCCATGACCAACCGATATGGTGACCTCTGCGACCTAGCATCCCTGCCTTCTTCTCCTTCCTCTGTCCAAAATGGTGTAATTTTCCATCCAGTGGAACGTTCTCATGTCCAGAATGGTGTAACACCTAACCTTCTGAGCGAGGGTGAAAATACAGATGAATCTAGTGAGCAGCAACACTCGGTTCACGAGAAACATAACTCCGAAGACAGAGAGAAAGAAGTTGAGGTTACCAAGGAGAAAAGAAGACAGATATCTGATCTTGCTGCAGTAAGTTAACAAATTAGAAATATTGTTACTGTTTGTAATTTCTACACATTTACCGTGGACAGAATCTTCATAACTTGAATATAACTCTTTAGAGTATTGAAGTAACGCTCTGTCAATTAAAAACGATTCACGTATTTTCTATCTCATGACCAAACTATGTGAAGAAAAGTAATCTTGATTTTCTTCTTTTAGTTTTTATATAATGTGTGTTAGGCATGTTTTTATTATGTCATTTTATTCTGTGATTAACTTGTAATGTGAATAACTACTAGATAGCAGATGCTTGATATAGATAGCCATTAAAAAAAGTATGTTGAATGTGGTTTAGTAGCTAAATATTTACAGATATTTCGCTAACTGTTGGATTATTTTATATATGGGAATTTGTCATTTTTGATAGCTTTTGAGAAAAAAGAAACTTTTCAGCCTTTTTTTTTATATAATCCTTTAGTTCAAGGGCATTGATTTAGGTGGGTGTTAAAATAAAAGTTGACAGATGTATACATATGTTACAATTTTGAAGTTTGTCAGATTTCTGGCACAAAGTGCACCTTAATATTCAAATACAATTGTTATGTATGGATATAGGTGGACTTTGTTGGCATTCATATTTCTCTGTTGGCTACTGTATCATCAAGCAAAGTTTAAGTGCTGTAAGAAATATTGTTTCTTTAATCCTGACCAATCGAGCACCCTTCTATTGTTGAGTACACACCTACATATCAAATTTCAAAATATAAAAAGAAAATTCTGCCTCTATTTCAACAGTTACAGACTTAAAAATATTTTATAATTGATGTAAAATTTATTTATTGTAAGTTGCAAAAGAAAATGTAAAAGTATTCAAACTTACATTTCTGCATGGCTCTAAGGAATCTTACCTGTATACTTGTTGTTTTTTAATAGAATTTTTCTGCCCAACCCAAAGCATAGATTTGTATTTGCTAGTTAACTAACATCACCTGGAAATACAATTCTTGAGATTTTATTAGGACTGCCTGTCATTCCCACCTTTTTATAACACATGATCAGAACAACTGCTAATTGTAACTCTGCTTTTGAAAGTGTTACAGGAAAAGTTTAAATACCATTACATTGAACAGATTGTAAACTACTTGTATCAATGTAGAGTAAATAAAGTGGTGTGAGAATTAATTAAATGGTTTCATGGGGAAAGTGACAAGACATCGGGTGTAAGCCTTATTAGGTTTAGAGAGTATGGTAGGTGATAGCAAAATATTCTGTTGAATAAATCCTTATTTATTGAATATTATTGTTAAATTTATCTTATTCAAACAATGGACATAAATAAAATAACTTGTAATTTAGTGGAAAGACAATATATTTTATTATATATAAGTTGATTTTGCCCATAAATATTGTTACCTAGCCTGACCTAAATCTTTGTTAGTTTGCAATGTTTTCTATGATTTAGAGTTGGAAATGATGACTTCTGTAATAGAAAAAATAAATTAATATCTGTCAAGTTAAAACTGATTGGATAAATAAAATGGGACTTGCTGATCAACATAAAAAAAATTATTTTATAAAACAAAAAGAAATATATTTTTAATGCTCTTTTCAAAACAGTATTTAACACAATGAAAAATTATGTTTGTTTTTAAGTTAAAACAAGGTACTATTTAGTAAGTTTGTTCTATTTTTATCAATTTGGTTAAGTATTTTCATTGTGATCAAAGGTGCCTTCTGGTGCCTTGGTTTTCAGCTCGGCATACTCCTCGTATAAACCTTTCCTCCCCTTCAGCTGTACATGTTGAACAAATTCATCAAGTGACACACCTTCGACATCATCGTTATGAATTGATTCACCGAGAAAGAAAGGAATGGCTACATCAACGAGGACTTTCTCCCCATCCAAAGAGATATCTGTTGTGGTAGAGTCGGGAGAGTGAACATGCTCTGCAGGTTTTCGCTGTCAAATTAAGACATAATATATACTTTAACTAAGAGAAATAGTGGTGTAGGAAAATCTTTAATATTAAGGAGGGGTAGCAACAATGTCAGGGGGAAGACACGTCTCTGTAGTACTTACACCTGTTGCCGTACGTTACCCATTCATACTGCTTGCCAGAAAGTGACATACCTTACAGAAAGTATATTTTATTTGTATAACTGCAGAGGCACCTCCTTTCTTGCAACACAGTTTTTTTCCCCTGTCACGAAGTAGAATTAGTGGGCTCTTAAGTCAAAATGTCTACAAAATCTGAAAACTCACATAAGTATTTCACAATTTCCAGATTGGGGTGTTACAGATAATTTTTTTCTTTTAAAAAAATGCATTGTTCACTTTTTTTTTACAAAACCCGATATACTTAAATATGTATAGGTGCCCCTGGTTCACTCCTCCTATTAAACATCTATCACACTACTTATTCTACATACCTAGCAGCAAAGAATATGTGAAGTATTTTTTGTTGCCAAATCAACTTAAACTACAAGAATGCTTCCTGGAATAGAGGTTATCTCTAAATATTATGTTATGTTAACTTTTAATATATATCCATAAATCATTAATTACCAGTGCTGTCATTTAATGTTTTATATGGAAACATGCATTTTTATCTTTGAATATGCCACACTTTAGAATGATTTGTTTGTTATTAAGCACAAAGCTACACAACGGGCTGTCTAGAAACCTTTTTTTTTTTTAAAGCTACAGGTCTTCAGTATTATTGTTTAGCTACCGTCTCAATCTTAATGCAATAAATATCCAGCAAAAAATTTATTAGAAAGCTACACAGTTCATGAGATTTAAAGTGCACAATCATTAACATGAAACCGATGAATATCCGATACCTACATTCTCTTCATTTCCAGCACATAGTTAACAATGTACTTCATAAAAATGTTTATAGACTAAAAGAACTATTAGTTGCCAGCTAAAAGTATTTTTAGTGTTTTAGGTTCTAACACAATCAAATAAAACTATTTGAGAAAACTATTGAAGAGATACTGAAATATACTTGATAAACCCTTCTTAAACATGTACAAGAATGTAGTAAGTGTGTGTGCATGCTTGCATATGTGTGTGTTTTTATATATATGGTGTGATATGGGTTTTGTAAAAAAAATAAGAAAAAGAAAGAAAAGTGAACAATGCATTTTTCTTGTTGCTCTAATACAAGTTTTTCAAAATGTTTTTATTTTATTTTAAATGCCCAGCAGTAGCTTGATAACTATATGAATGATGAGGGATGGCTTTGAGGGTTTTTTTGTATTTTTTTAATAATTTTAGTTTAGATAATGGGACATCCTAGATGGGGCAATAGGTCCCTTGTTGTCTCCAAATATTATGTTATGTTAACTTTTAATATATCCATAAATCTTTAATTACCAATGCTGTACATTAATCTGCAGATTTTTATATTATATACAAGTTTTAGGATTTTAGTTTAACTTAACCCTCAAATGTTTTTCATGCAGTTTAGTACTGGTGGAGTTCACATATTGGATCATTTTCAGTACCTGTATGTTACAAGTCACACCATAAAAAAACTGACCAAAAAATAAAACTAGGTATAAAAAGTAATCTTGTTACAAGTCACACCATGAAAAAAAACTGACCAAAAAATAAAACTAGGTGAAAAAAATTAATCTTGTTACAAGTCACACCATAAAAAACTGTCCCAGAAATAAAACTAGGTGAAACAAGTAATCTTGTTACAAGTCTCACCATAAAAAAACTGACCAAAAAATAAAACTAGGTGAAAAAATTAAACTAGTTACAAGTCACACCATAAAAAAACTGACCAAAAAATAAAACTAGTTGAAAAAGTAATCTTGTTACAAGTTGCACCATAAACAAAACTGACCCAAAAATAAAACTAGGTGAAAAAAAGTAATCTTGTTACAAGTCACACCATAAAAAAAACTGACCAAAAATAAAACTTTGTGGAAAAAAATAATATTTTATGTGAAATGTGTTGGGACAGTAGTTTGTGGGATTAACTAGAACATTGATGATATTTTTGTTTAATATTGTGTGTCTCTGTGACGCACATATGATTATTGATCTTCTAATCAACAAAGTCAGGAATCCACAAGCAAGTTGGTAAATGAAC